AATGATGTTTGTTATGTTGCTCAGTGAAAGCAAGCTGGGGAAAAGATGTGTCCTTAGTTGAGCAATCTGTCATGAAAGATCCCTAAGTTACAATTAGAAAATTAGTTGAATGTCTTAACAATAATTTAAACATATTAGATATGATTAAAAAGAATGCGCCCATGCTTTATCCACATTGGATAAACTACGCTCCCAAGACGGAGGACTCGGGTTTTGAAAGTCACCATGCTCATTCTGGGAAAGGATATCCTTATCTACCCATCCTATTGCCGAGATTTAGCCATTTCTTACAAATGGGCTGTTCTTGTTATAAAAAATAACTTTCATGGAAAGAAATATAAGACTCGGAAAAATCTTTAAGCTTCTTTGAACAGAACGCTACGGAGCATGTCACGTGACCGCCTGGATCACGTGATTCGCGCACAGACAGATCGGTGGAAGATGTGCATTAATATCGGAGAGGACTACTTTAAAAAATAATGAACACTGAAATCTAATTTTATTTCTTTTTTGGAAGCAATTCAATTACTTCGCGAACTTTTTGATCACCCCTTGTATTTGTCAGTTGTGTTATTCATATAACCGGTTGGAACATGTAATTATTAATAGTAATAACTAAATGTACTCACGTCAAATTTTGGATTGAATTCTCCTACAAAAACATCATTTTACACATTAGGTCTCCAAGAATTACAGTCCTGAATCTCTGGACGCCCTTGACTATATAACACTTCATACAAGACACCCAACTTCTTAAAATATGCACAAACACGGCCACTCTACCTTTTCGTCACTAAGCCTGACCTACTCGTACTGACTCCATTACCGGAATCATATCTTTAAAAATTACATTCTTTATAATTCTTTAGAAAAATATCTAACATTTTCAACGTTTTACTGAACGGTCCAAAGAAAATTGAAGTTGGACCTCTGAGTGAGATATTGGACCTATCAATGAGACATTGGACCGCTGTGACGTTACACTTTAGGCGGGATCAGCTTTTGCAAACATGGAAGCCAGTGCAAAATGTGTCAAAATAAAAGTTAAAGGAATAACAAAACATTTACTGACTGTGTCCGCAGACGAAGTGCGTTTTGTCGACTCTTCAAACAAAACCAACGCCTAACAGCCTCAGGCAACAGGGTTCTCCACATTTGAAAATTTAACCATGGAGGAAGCTGCGCAAAGGCGAAAACACGAGTAATGATGTGACCGAAAACACGAATGCGTGTTAGACTTCCTAACCTTCGTTAATCAATGAACTTATAATTACTGCAACACAAAAAGTTGAAACAACTAATCTAAAAAATATAAATAAGAATAAACATGATAAAAAAAATTAATATGTATCTTTCTTTACAAATGTGTAACAAAATCCGAAGACTGTAGGAACAATTTGAAGGAATTCCAAAAAGAAAAAAAATTGATAGAGTAACCATGGCAACATTATAAAATTAATATATACAGAATTGATGTTGCCTGTTGTATGAAACGTTTTATTTAAATATGAATAAAACTAATGAATGGGTAGCATTTTTTAAAAGTTAACAGACTCACAAACACCGACATCCTATCAATTAATGACTCAGCTTTTTTACTGCATGGTCTATGAAAACTTACTGATGGCATGCATGATAGAAGTAACTAAATATAACCAGGGGCATAAATTTGATATAACTGTAGTTTTGCTTTCTCTTTTTTGTTTTTCTTTTAATCCTAAACGTTCTTTTTTTCTACATATTGTATTTTCGCCGATTTTCCTCTTTTGTTTACTTCTCCACGTGCTCCAGTGCTAAAAATAGATCCACGCCACATTTCATAAGAACGGGAGGTAACTCTAAAAGTAATACTACCATTGGCACTGATGTACATTTTATCAGAAAGAAAGCATATGGAATTGATTAAATACAAAGAATATGAAATGTTGATCATGTTGATAGGGTCATTGTTTTTTTTCTTTGCACAGAAACTTGAATCGGACGCTTGCCGATTTTCATGTTGTTACTGCTCATTTCTATGTCATCTGTTAAATTTGTTATCGTATTGAGCTAATTGAGAACACGTTGGAATTCCCCGAAATTACAAGTGTACAGGATAAATAACTATGAAGATATTGATTATCAGCTGATTGACTCTCCATTGTCACGCTTCACAGCATAATCGCCGATCAACGACCGTGTTTGATTAGCATTGTCCGCTTTCCCTCGAGGCATGCCAGGTGCACTGGCAGTCGTTGTATAAACACAATTAACTACTCAAGTCATTAAAAAGTAGGTGTCAACACTGAAATGCAATAAAAATTTAATCATGGCGGCCAACGATTTTAACCATGGCGCAGCTCGTTTAACCATGGCGCACATAAATTCAACCATGGCGGGCCGCCATGGTAAAACCCCTTGTGGAGAACCCTGAGGCAATCAGTTTGGTACTTGGGTCCGACAGAACGCTCGATACCCTCAAACCAAGTCAATAAATGTATATAGAAACAAATTTTTGACCCACCTTCTGCCATGCAACCACTCCCTGATACATGTATAGTCAGCTGTATTTGAATCAATGGTACACTGTACTTGTATCTATATAAAAGTAGTTGTTTGTTCTTCGTTCTCTGAATTATCAATATTTGTTATGTTAATCATGTTTATAATATTACGTACTTAATTTCACATGTTGTATTTCAAATGCTTTTAAGTTTGGCGTGTTTGAAAAGATTCTCTAAATTTTGCTAGTCAGATTTGCAGGGTTCTCCATGAGCTGTTTTACTCATCCTCGCAAGCCAGGGGTTCTGAGTCAACACGTTGCCGTTGGACCCCTGGCATATTTCATTCAATATTCGTGGGCTTGCTTCTCTCATTGAGAAGCACCAATCAAATTAAAGCTTTCATAAATAGTTAGATAAGGATTCAGTTGACACCTCAAATGCACGTGTTAAAAATTGTTTATCATAGAATGGCTTAATGTGATTGGTTGAGAGATAAGAAAAACAATAAAGATTTGTAATTTTTCCGAAAGACATCGCTACAGTCAGCCCACAAATATTGAATGAAATATGTCAGGGGTCCAACGGAACGTGTTGACTCAGGACCCCTGGCTTGCGAGGATGTGTTTTACTGTGTCGGTCTCGACACAGTAAAATTTTCTCCGACTCTGTAACGATTCAAACGATTCAGTAACGATGCGTGCAACACAGTAAAAAAATTTGAGACACAGTAACATCTGTGATAATCAAAAAATCAGAACATAAATTTTCTCTAACTGAAACTTTAATCAAACAATGACAATGACAATGACAATGAATTTATTCTCATAAACTGACATTAAGTACAGTGTAGAGACATATTACAAATATAGTTAAATATATGTGCATGCGTGAAACAGAAAAAGTACAAAGTCAAAAAGCAAACAGATCTACCGTGTTTCAATTTTTAAGGCTGAGCACTTATTTTAATTATCTCCAAATTAATTAGGGGACTTTGTCTTGCTTCACCTTGCAAAATTAATTATCTCCTAACCCTCGCTGGACTTTACATATAAAGGACCATGACAAATAATTTGTTTTCACACTTCCATCTAACTGTATAATTGCTAGTTGCATTTTAAAATATTATTTCAAACTTTAAAAATATATTATAAATATATGTCTTTATACTTCAGAACCACGTCTCTAGAATTATGTTGGCACTGTGAGTCAAACATCGCATCGTAATCATTTCTTTGATGTAAATGTATTGCTGAAGAATTTAAAGGCACCCCCTAAAAGTATTTTACTATTATATAAGTTTCTTTTTTAAATTCTGTAATTCGATCGACTGACAAAAATCACTGCAAATTTACTGTAGATCATTGTATCGACCAGAATTTCCTCTGCTCTCCAGAGTATGTGTAAAACATGAAGTTATATATACAAAAATGTCAAGGTTTAATATATACGTACAACTTGTAGATAGTGATACAAATATATTATATAAGTTTACCGGTATTTTTTAAAAATCGTCCTTATTATTTTAAGTTGTGTGTGTGTTGAGGGGGGTGGGGGTACAGTTGGTTTGTCTAATACATGTGGTACATTGTACATGTATGTGCATTATCATATGAATACATTCTTATTGTTTTAAACATCCATTAATTTATTATTTTATTTATATAATTGTATGTATATGCTTTTATAATTATAATGGATAGTAGTTCAGTTGCGAATTTGATCGCGAAAATGTCGCGAATATTAGTGGTTCACGTAAAGTTTTCAACAGAGTAAAATTTCAAACGATGGAGAACCCTGGATTTGTATAATAAATTATAATATTATGTATATTCATATATTCATATTTTCAAATATAGGCACGTGTAACTTTTGTACACATTTTGCATTCTAATAAATATTCATTTATCACAAATAGTTTTATATATATATATATATATATATATATATATATATATATATATATATATATATATATATATATATATATATATATATATATATATATATATATATATTGCAAAAAACAGAGCAGAATACAGTAGACTCATGATGGAGATAAAAAATTAAATTTAGGAAAGTTGAAGACAATGGTAAAGTATAAATGTATATCAATAATCTTTTTTGCATCTGCCAATTAAAAATGTTATCAAGAAAAGAAGCCACGTCAGTCAGTACTGGCTGTACTTTGATTATAACCATTATAACTTGCATGACGTTTAAATATGAAATGTTTTGTCTAGTATTACATTTAAATGCATTCCTCTGCTTATTGACTGAAACGCACATCTACTGTGTGTGATGTGAAAGGAAATATTTTGTGCCTTGAAGACTATTTAAATTCAATATTCAGAACAATTTCTTAAGGACATAGCGTCATATTTTTTTTGTACGAAATGGACCGATTTCATTGGTGTATCAAACTGACTTTTTGTTTCTTGATGTGGAAGTTTGTTTTTTCTCAGACAATTCATGATGGTAACAATGAAATATATAAAGACTTTAACATGGACAACAAAATAGATGCTCTCAAGACGGCTTTAGAAGAAGGTGAAAAACGCTTGCGAGAAATTACCCTCCTTCTACAAGAGTCTATTCAGACGTCAGAAACATTCAATAAAACCTACGACGATTTACTGAAAATGTACAGTTTAAGGATAGTTCCAAATGGTATGATTCAGTTGTATTTCAAACACCTATTCAATTGATTTCATTTCATTCTACTCTCAGTAGTAATCTTCCAATTTTCTTTCAGATTTTATGTCAGTTTTGAAATACATATCATCAGGTCTCATTTATCTTCTGCTATTAATTAATGCAACTTTATATAAAATAATTTATACTCTTTTCTTTAAGTCTATACAATTTCCTATTAAAACCTCAGAAGATTCCTCATTTAAATTTACTGGTCATTATAATTACCTTGTTAGCAGATATAATCTATCATTGTGGTTTTTGGCTAACTTGTTTCATACTAATTGTCAGGCCTTTATTTTATACTAAATTTTACTACGGAATGTCTCGTCTACCTGATCAACACATAGGGCTCACGGCTGGTGTGACCGATCAACAGGGGATGTTTACTCCTTCAAGGCATCTGATCTCACGTCTCTGGAATATTTTAATGCCCTGTTCACAGATTTGTATTGTTTGTGGAATTTTTGAGATCGATTATTGTTTGTTATTTTTACCTTTTTGATTCATTATTTCAGAAAAATTGTACATAATTTTTATGATATCCCATGGTTTGTGGTTGGGTAGAATTTTTATCTAACGAGTTGTATATTTTCTTTCCCCGAGACTTATCATAAATCGTTTTGTTTCCCGTTTGTCATTTAATTTTTTTAAGGAAGACTTTTTATCTTTTTATATATCAGTTTTAAGTTTGTTCGATTTTGCATGACACGAAAATGCCGAACAATAAACTTTATAAAATTAGTTCATAATCTTTTTTTTTTGTGTATCCATGCAAGAGAAAAACCTTTTCTCTTTTAGTCTCAGATTTTGATGTGTTATGATATTTTTAAGACAAATATTTACAAAAATGATACACACAAGACAAAAATAAATTAATAATTATATAATACTAATAATAAAATAATGATGATGCTAATCTACTTCTAGCTTCCTTGAAGAAGTTATTGGCTTTTTTGATAACAATTTATGATATTCTATTACAAAAAATAATACACCCACTCCACAGATAATACGATAGATGATATGTGTGTTTGACATCCACGTTTGGTCATAGAAAGCACCACAGATTGTCACAGATATTATAACTGTTCTGGAGTTGCTCCTGACTTGGGCGGCGGAATAGGCCAAATGTTCAACTCCTGGACTGCAAAACATCTGCATGAGTGTCATTATCCGCTTTTGTTCTCCAATGAAACACTTCGTTGTGAAAATTACACCGAAGTAGTTTGTGGAGCACGTTATGAACCAAAATGGGCTTGTAAGTAAAACATTTAGAAAAATATAACTAAATTGTGATTACTCAAGCAAGCAATATCCCAATTTGGTTGTACAAAAAGGTACATTTAATACTAGAAAGGCAGCTATAAATTTATTCAAATTGTAAAATCACATTTAACATATATCTAACGATCAACTCTCACCTTAATTCTTTGAACACGTTTCTTTTTCAATTTCAACAGGTAGATACTACAGACTGCAGTGTAAAAAATCACACTGCATACCTTGTGAGGTATTCTACCCAAAATGTGAAGATAAAGACGACGGACTATGGCCACAGCCCGAATATGATGGACCTCGCTACATGATTTGTCAGAATGGAAGAACCATCGAAACAGGTACTTGTCCACGAGATGAAACATGGAGTGTTCAGTCCTTCCCCTACAATGGTAAATGTGTGCATATGTTTGCTATACCTAAAGGATACAAAGGTTTTGGCTATCTTCCTTCTTGTAACGGAACAGCAGATGGAAATTATCAGTATCCTGAACGACCTTGTGACGCTTACTACAGATGTGATGGTGGAATTGCTTCCGCTGTGAAATGTCCCCAGAATACGCTCTTTGACATATTAAGTAAGACTTGTAAAGTCGGAGGCACATGTGCATAGAGATGAGTTTTAAGGTTCTCCGATCCTTAGGTTCTGAAAATCAGGAGCTGGTAATTGAAAATGCTTACAAAAATGTCTCTGAATTCTTAAAATAATTGTGTTTTTACCTATGGTATTTCCTCAAAGTTCATCATTATATTTAATCAAGGCATACAATATAGGGAAAATTATCAAATCTCAAAAATATTTTTAGGAAATGCGAACAAAAGCACCTATTATGCATTTTCTTATGGAAAATTGATCAACAAATATATTTTAGGATAACAAATTCAAGGCATTTCGAGAAAATTGCATATTTTTTTATTCTCTACTCTAGTTTTTTTCCAGTTACTTCAACTGTTATATAATACATAGTGTAAAACCTTTGTTCTATCAATGTAAGACATCAAGGGTCACTTTTAATATGGTATCATGCTAAGAAACATTGGTATCTAAGGCTAGATTAAAGAAGATTCGATTTCTTTAATAATGTATTTATTTTTGTACTTTTATAGGGTTCCGATGTCAACTTTTTACAAAACTGTTTTTAAATCTTCAAAGAACTTTGAATCAATATGATATGCATTTAATGAAAATTGTTGCACGAAAAGTTTTCAATTTCAAGCTTAATTTTGACACTTTTTAATTTTAAAAATGCTAAATTTAAGAGTTATCCTTCTTGGTTGAGGAGCGGATATCCATAAGATTATTGTATATATACTTAATTTGTTTAGAAGGTATATATTCTAAATTCAGATTTGTGAAATTCAGCAGGATTTACTATAAAGAAATTTGTAAACAGATTTCTCAATTTTTTTTGCAATACATGTTTATATATTTTCAATGAATCTCAAACATTCCTTGAAGTTTTATTTGAGTCCGTGTTAGAATCCCTTTGAATACAGATTGTGTGAGGGATTACTATTATAATATTTTTTATTAATTGGTAACTTTTGAATTGATGTTATGCAGCATATTTTTGAATAATTCACATCAATTTTACTTTAAGATGGAATTTTTTTTACAGCCACTTGCCTATTAACGTAAATATTCTCTAGATGCACAAGTTAATTTGTTCAATTCTGAAACCTAAACTAGAACAATCACTCTCTCTTGTTCTTGGTTCAAGTAGTATCTTGTAAGAATATGTGGTACAACAAGTTTAACTATTTCGTGACCCAAGCACAAGACATAACGTGAAATCAAATAAAGAAGCTAACTGATTGAAAGTAATACATGTAATTGAAATGCAAAACGTCAACGTGGCAATAAAATTTACTTGGTCGTAGAATAATTGATTGTACTTACATGTAGTATCACTAGATGTTTTCGGAAAAATTGCTTCCCCAACTCGTAATAAAAGGTTTTTCATATGAAGCCAAACTTTTTGACGTAAAGGAAATGCAATCAATATCTTCAAGCAATAACATTATTAGCAATATGTATATTTACATGTACATTGTTTTAATAAATCCTGGTGCTCAATTTTCTTCCTCAATTGAATATATGAGATTTACGCATGTCCAACCTATATGATGGGAAAAGTAATGGCGATTTAAAAAATATACTTTTGGAGAAGAAGATTTTAAAAATTCGTTAAAGTATTTCCCCATTTTTGCTATTATTTCCCCTTGTTGAAGGACATATCCCTTCATTTGAACATATATAAATTCCCGATGCTGTCTGCTAAGTTTCGTTGAACTTGGTCCAATGCTACTAAGAGAAGATTTTTTTAAAAAGTCGTTTATGTATTTTCACTGTTTTGCTATTATCTCCCCCAGGAGAAGGATGTGATCCTTTACTTAACTAATTTGAATTCCCTTAACCCTGAAGGATGCCTTGTGTCAAGTTTGGTTGAAATTTGCCGTGTGGGTTTGAAGAAAAATGAAATGGTGAAAAGTTATGATGACGACAACGCTAACAAAGATGTACAACTGACATACTTCGATCAGAACCTTTGGTTCAGGTGAGCTAATCATAGCCAATATATATTTGCTGTTTTCTCGAACTGGAGAACGGCGAGGTCCAGTGTTTATGGAGAAGATTTTTAAAAGACATAAATGTACATGTATTTCACTATTATTTCCCCTTTGGAGAAGTTCAAGACCCTGCATTGAACAAATTTGAAATTCCTTCACCCAAGGATGATTGTGCCAAGCTTGGTTGATTTTGGTCATGTGGTTCTGGAGGAATATGAAAATGTGAAAAGTTTACAACGACGATATCAACAGGCAAGGAAGATTTGGCTCAGGTGAGCTAACATGAGGCCCAAAGGGCCTAATGCACTCACTTGATAATTTAATGATCGATTGATTGTATGTTGTTTTACGTCCCATTCGAGAATTTTTCACTCATATACATGTAGAGACGTCACCATATACCGGTGAAGGGCTTCATATTGTGACCTTTACTCGGCACTCAGGGCCATTGAGCAGTTGTGGTAGTCATGATTTTATATTGATTTTAATTAACAGCAATTTTCTTTCAGATGCCATTGAAAGTTATGAAATAACTTTCAATAATAAACTTGATTTAAAATAAATATGTTTTATTTAAATATTAAACATTTAAATAAATTTATAACATCTACCTGTAATTAAAGTCTAGAAATCTCTAGAGTTCTAAAATTACAGTGTAAATCTTAACCTTGAATAAATAAATAAGTAAAAATATCCATTGGTTAATATTTTCCCGCCAAAACCTTTAATCCCATTTGTCCAGAGTGTCCAGCTAATTACTAGCCCAGGAGCAGTTAGTGTATAAAGTTGTATTTTGTTATTTGGAGAATTTTATAGACCACTGACAGTAAGTTGACTTTTTGACATTCTTATTTCATATTAATACTTTCACATTTCATATTAATAATTATATGAATGAAAAGAGGCATATGAGAGAATTTATTAAATTATTTAAGTTTGTCAAAAGCTGATGAACTAGTTGATTTTAAACTTTGTAATGAACTAATGTATTTATGACACAAAAGAATATATAGTGTATAGATGTTACTTATGAATTGTAGATATTAAATCCATAGCAAGACATATACACTGTATTAGAAATATATTAGAGATGGATTCATGCCCATAGTTTGGTATGTAGCTATATGTACATGTATATTGTAAATATTTATTATCCACTATATGAAGTGAATATATAAAGAGAAATATCATTTGTCAAGAGATATAACTCATTGACCTGTGTCAATATTCATCATTTTATGACTTAATTAATATGCAGTAATTATCTGATTTTATGATGACAATAGATTCTGCTGTTATATGTGATATCATCTTTAGTTAATGTACTTTATATTGTTTTGCAGAATCTGGTACTACATTGTAGTATATAATCCTTGTAATAAACAACATCACACTGAAACCATCTTGTGTTAATTGCTGCTCCGCTACACAGTGAGGGATCTCTATCGTGCCAACACCTGTCGTGATACGGGGCCTCGGTTTTTAAGGTCTGATCCAAAGACCCGCAACTTTCACTTCAATGTACCGAGCGCATGGCGAAGGAACAGTTGCTTCCGATTTTTTATCGACTCAGGTCAGTCGCGGCCGAGATTCGAACTCACGACCTCCCGATCATGGAGCGAGCGCTCTACCGACTGAGCTACCGTGAACTGTCATTTGATAATTTAAAGAATATATTTATACTGCAGGTATAATACATGCTGTAAAAGCATGGATGAAACCAATGAACATTAATTATGTTATTGCAAAATTACCAAACCAATTAATTTTGTCTAGCACACATATTCTTTCAAAGTGTAAGAAAGCAAAACAGTTTTATGAAATAATCAATGTTAATGATGTTGAACCCACTGGGAAAACAAGATGGAATGATATTTTTGATTTGGGGAAAAATGAATGGAAGATGATTTTTAAACTTCCTTTTAAAATTACAAAAAATAGTAAACTTCAATGGTTTCAATATAGAATTTTAAATAAAATACTTGGTACAAACACCTATCTATATAAAATTAGGAAAAGAGATGATAAATTATGTTCTTTTTGCAATGCGGAAGAAGAAACAATAATACATGTTCTATGGGAATGTGATAATGTACAAACTTTTCTTAACAATTTTGAAGTATATTGTGAGCAAAAGATAGGGCTGCAACTTTCATTCACAAAGCAAAGTTTTATTTTGGGGTTTCTAGGAAAAAACAAAGATATTCATAACTTGTTGGCCTTGTGGGTAAAATAATATATTGATACAATGAGATGTTTAGGAAAAAAATTAGATGTCAGACCTGCAACTTCACATATCAAACTTTTTTTATGAAACTCAGAAATATTTATCATACAAAAATGGAGACAAAGAGGTATTTGACACCAACGGGAATCAATGGAATCAATTGTTTTGATAAATCCGTTATATTAAAGATAAGAATCAGTCTTATTCATGTATTAAATGAAAATTGAAATACATGATAACATGCCAACTGTCTCTCTCTCCCTCCCCTCTCTCTCTCTCTCTCTTAAAAACCACAGTCTGAAAAATGTTAAACTTTGTATTATATCGTATCTCTCTCTCTCTCCCTCTCTCTTAAAAACCACAGTCTGTAAAAATGTTAAACTTTGTATTATATTATGATATAACAGATTGTGTATTAAATAAAGACTTTAAAAAAAAAAAAGAATATATTTACCTCAAATTAAAAGCGTAAAATTTCATTTAAGTTTTCAAACGATCTTTAATGTCATGACAAACGATTATAATTGGAATTCTTCGTTGTCCATTTTTCCTCATTTAAATGATTTTAACAATTTAATATTTGTTTTAGAAGTAATTGAAATTTTGATACTATGCACTTATAAATTTATGATTAGTGCTCATAAATCGCGCCCTCAGTTGATCGCTTTTTCTTCATTAAAATTGTAATTTTAGCGATTTAATTTTTTTTCTTTTTGGATAAAGTTTTATTAAAAAAATTTAGCGTCTGCTTTATTCAAATTACGGAATGAAAAAGGAATATGCTAGAAAACATGCGCATACATTTACAACGCAGAGCCAGATG